CTTTAAGATGTTCCTGGATGCTTTTGGTGAGCCATGGGTGCTTTTGAGCACTCTTGCCCCCTTTGATCAGTTGGAATTGCCATCCTTTGGACTTGGAGGATTGTCTCCTTCAGGAACGACCACTCTTCTTGGACTCCCAACTCCCCACTCCTCTGGGACCTCAGTGCCTCCCCGACTAATCTCTTTAGCAAAATGAAATCCACCCTTCTGAAGTCCAGGGCTGCTGTCTTGCTGCAGGCCTTTGCAACCCTGCGCTGGATGGTGAATTCCAACAGGCGATGATTGCTGTCGCCCAGGTGATCAAGCACCTGCAGTCCCCTCACCAGGTCATTGCTTGTGGCCAGGAACCTACGTGAGCGGGTCAGACCTGGCTGACTGCTCTTCTCAGCAGATGTCCAGATAGTTTAGGTCACCCATGACGACCACATCCTTTGACCACATTTAATGTTCATACAAGAGTGAAAAATTCAAGGCCCATATATATTTATCACTTAAACCCTATTTTGAGAGGTTAAGCGGGACTAAAGTGAATAGATTTGTTGGCCCTTTGCACAGAACTGAATTTCACCCAGCAGGGATTAATTTTCTGCAATTCTCCCTGCTTGTCAAGAACAATTCTCCATAATTAGAAGAAAAATCATATTAATGGTCTCAGGAGGACTGCTTTGAATGTAATTATATTCTAGTTATTTTATGTATGTTAGGTTAAAAGCTTGCCAACTTTTTCCAAGCAGTAAAGTTCTGGCATGGAGAGAAAAATGCTTAAGAACTTGAATTGATACACTTCAATGGACATTTTGCATACAGTGGAGGTTCCTAGAACACAAATAATAAGAGGGTAAGGCCTCTCTAAATTCTTTTACCAGGGCCATGCCACAATTCTCATACCATAGCTGCCACATAGGACTGCAGACTTCCTCTAGGGATACTATGACAACAGGTTTTAACTCACCTAAAGTTCAAGTCTCTCATTGCCAGATAAAGGCAATAAAATGCATGATTTTGATGCGTCCTCTTGTACATTTACATATTATGTTAATACTAAAGTAAAATAGCAGGATACAATCAAAGTAATACATCTTCAGAAGGCCCCTACTCACACATTTCCTTTGCACCTGCTGTTACAGCCACCGCCATGGCTTATCAAAAGTGAAAACTTAGCTTGTCAAGTTTCTGCTACTTCTCACTTCCCCATGTACCCAGGTTACAGAATGACCAATATGGTTTGTGTTGTTCAGAGTTTCATGCACATAACAGTGAAGTTTGCATTAAGAAAAAAAAGATTGCTGACTTCCAAAAAAATATTTATTTCATTTCATGAAAATATTTTTATCAGGATTTTAAAATGTGATTTTCCCTCTTAAAAATATGAATGTTTCAACTAGGAGGCTGCGTTCCTCAAAAGCCTTAGGTACTATACACTGACAGTTATTCAACAATTCCCATAAAATTCTATAGATCATTGAACTAATTAATTTTAAAAGATCCTCCCAAATACCAGTTCCTACTGGAAAAGAAAAATTGAATAATCAGCTATTAAAACAACCTTGGTCAAGCAACTATGGACCTCATAACTTCTGCAGAAGACAATGTTTCAGTTATGAATATTTCACTGCCTTTCTCTGGAATCTGTCCAAAGCAATTCTCACGAGCCATGGATTATCTTTACTCTTTGAACCAACTTCTGCTCTTTGGTGTGCATGCAGGTTCCCGCTGTTTGGAGCTCACATGCAGACTCAACAGAAGAATGTGTATTTTACTGGTGACACAGATGCAACAACTTGTTATTCAGGCTTACCATACAAGAATCATGGAAAGCAGTGCATGCTACAGTATCAGCATCTGGCTCATTAACCATACAGTAATACAACTTACTTCTACACCTAGTCTGCAAAATTCACTCCTGTCCCTTTAAAATCCCTTGACTTAAATGTTCAGTTCTATCAAGCTATTTTTTATATGTAAAGGAGAACATAAACATAAGACTTTTTCTTTGGTGGGGGGGGGGGGGGGGGGGGGGGGGGGAGAGGAGATAAGGAGAAGGAAAGGAAACTGTCTTCCACAAGACAGGATGGATTTTAAAAGGAGCAGAACTTTATATTAACCAATTGGTATCAGTAAAGCTCTCTGCCCCCTGGGATGAAGAGATGAGCAGTAAAATCTGAAAGACCTTTGTAGCATGAAAGGGCAGTAATGTAGAGTATAGCAAGTATTTGCCTTCAGTGTATTAATGTTTCCGCTATTTAAATAAACTCTTCAAAACACCACAGCATTCTGGAATGATAGAGTAGTGGCCTTCCTAAAATACAAGATGGTATATGGGAGACAGAAAGGTAGATGGAAAAAACAAAACTGTTGACACTCTTAATTGGACTTTAAGAGGAAGGATTAATTTCCTAACTAATACTGGATTTAATATTTTCAAAACAATTTCTCTGTCAGGACATATAGCAGCAGTTCCCAACCTGGGGTTTCAGCACTTAAAGGTGGGACAGTAACCCTATAGAAGTTCTAGTGGAAGAATCAGGCTTTGACAAGAAGTCAAGTCATGGACCCAGAACTACTGCCATACAGTATGTTCCTGCATCTGAAGAATAACTTCCCTTAGATGACACCTCTTTTTAAAAACTAAGCATGGTATTTGCTTGCATGCCCCCTCCTCCCTTGCCCAAATAAAATATATACTTTGTTTTTAAAAGGCTGAATGTAGGAAAATAAAGATTTTTCCAGAGTCATGGCTGATTGCGTGACAAAGTCCTCCTGGAAACACAGAGTGTCCAGGAAGTGTAGCATCCCATACTTGTGGGTGAGACAGCAAGAACTTCCTGGTGTGGCATGGCAACAACAAACCTAGATCCCAGACATCTGCAAGGGCACTAGCAAGATTATTATTAATTTGGTGTAAATAGCTCTTTAAGTAAATTCCTGGAACTAATAAAAGATTGTTTCTATACCACAAGACACATCAAGATGTTACAGAACGCATGCAGCAGCTCACCCCCCCTTTAACCAGATCAGTGGGTATTTAAAACTACAACCTCACCAGTGGCTACAGGAAAGATAATACTGGACTCTGCCACTGCTGTCGATAGATCCAGGGAGAAGCAGCAGCAGCCATCTTGGTACCGGATATCTCTGAAATAATACATAAGCCTATATATCTGAAGAATGCTGGCCTTGAACCATTCAAAACTGATGCATGTTCCTCAAATTCTAGAAGCCCAGTCTCTGACAACTTGTTCACCATATCAGAACAGCTGAACACCCACATTTGAGGCCCCTGGGAACTGCAAATGTTCAGAATCTCAGCATAAGGTGGTTCTCATTATCTTGCAAAGGGCTACCAACCTAAAGCCACTAAACACTGCTTGCTGGAGGCTTCTGGGATTTTGCATCTTGTCTTTTCATTCACAATCAGAGAATACTTAAAAGATAATGGCCCATATACATATCTACCTTTAGGTTGGTAATTAGCACTTACAAAACTAATTGTCTTTTCAGGCCACACATGGATTACAGACTGCATTCCCCTTTGTACAGCTCACCTTGTCTCAACAGTCAGTTATGCTTCATCGTAATCCTAATCTTCCCAGGAAGGTATAATTCCCTAAAATGTTACGGGAAACCACAGCTACTGATGGGAAAGGCAGGAGTGGGGCAAAATGTAGAGGAACCTCACTTCCATGAGAATGGCTCTCTCACCAAGTCTGGCTTCCTGTTTGCTTTCCTTCCAGTCTCACATTTGTTCCCTCCTGGCTACCCATCTTCAACAAATGGGGTGCTTTAGCTCAGTGGCGCAGATCCATGGTCTAGTGGTAAAGCTACATGGCTGGAGAAATGGGAGATATAAATTCAAATCCCCACTACATGATAGCGAAGAGGGCCTAGAAACTGTGTCTCTCATTCCCTGGGCTTGCACCCATCCCACTAGACTTTTAAGTTAAAAGATGGGAGGGTTCTTTTCCCCCCCAACCTGTCACTAGTTAATTTGAGGAAAACCAGGACATTTTGTGGACTTACTTGGAGTCATGCTCTTTCTTAAGCAGACTAGTATTCTGAAGAAGCATAAGTGGCCAGATCAGTTCTTGCTTAGCATGCTGAGAACCACAGGCAACTGGTAGGAGGGCCATGGGGCGGGGGGGAAGTGGACATGTGCCCCCCCCGATATTGGCCCCGCTCAGGACAGGGCACCTTTTTTTGCTACGCAGGCCAGCGGCATGTTGGGGGAGTGGGGGGCACTAAGCCACGGCACAGAAGTATAGGAGTGGATATGGGGCTTTTGGCTTGTCCCGGGCATGCCCACAAATTGTGCCTCCCCAGTCACAGGAAGCGTAAGTCACCCCTGCTGAGAATGACAAAGTGCTGTCCTTCTCAGGGAGGAAAGGAGAAGGGTGAAGAGTCTAAAATCTGTCTGAATAGCCAAAAATACCACTTATGTGGGAAAATTTAGCCATGTAACTGCTACTTGCCTAAATGTGGAGTTGTATTTGGGCCAGGGTGCACAGTCCTGAAATATAACACACACTTTTAATGCTTGCTGACTTCAAATGGAGATACAAGACGTTTGAAGTCTCACAAGACTGGGCTTGTAGTCAGCACTCTTAGGACATGGGAATGCCAACCAGTTACCACAAATTGATTACCTTTCAAACCCAGTGAAAGGGCATGGGTTTGAAAGGGCATGGGAATATACTGTGTGCCTGCTTCTCCATACTACATGCCCAGGTGCACACTGTAATCCTACATTTAATGAAAACTAAATGTGTAGTAGCTTAGCTCTCAGTGAAAAACTAGGCTACAGCAAGGTAATGGCACACTCCTGTAAAGTGCTAATGTGTCATAAAGCCAGCCCCCCTTCCTCCCCAACCACATACTGTTACCTCATGGTAACTACATGTTTTACCAAAATAGGGATCCCTGAACAAAATCCTTGGTTATTTTGTCTAGGAAAATTTTTCCCAGGAAACTCATCTCTACTATAAGAAATAACAATCTTTTCATTTTGGGCCAAGGGGTTAAGTCATGCTCTGTTTGCAAATACAAAAGAAAATAGCCAAATAAAGAATCAGTCTTCTTGGAAACAAAGCCATGGACTTTTAAGTCACAGTTCTCACTTTTAAGCGTACTTTCCTTTTAAAAAAAGTGAACCATATTCTTATCTCATTTACTTATAAAATTTAAAATAGATTAGCACCTTTGTAATGGAGATTAGAATGACCATTGCCTCTAACTGAAAAGCGCTTTCCACTGGCAGTACTTCAAAAGCATTAATGCTTCCAAGATTCCAGCAACATATGCAAGTGTAGTATCATCACCTACTGAAAAAGGGCTGTTCTATTGCTTTCCAAGATCTTTTTTTTCTTTTAAGGTATTTACAACAAAACATGTCAAGCTCTTGTTGCTTCAGTTTTAAAATTAAACCTCTAAAGGGTAACTTGTCAGGGTATCATTACAGATAGACAGCTCCTCATGTCTGAATTGCAAGTCATTCTGCATTAAGAAGAAATTAGTCTTCGAGTGTGTGCAGTTTCTCAGCTCCAATTCTTTGGTGAAACAGAATTCAATTTGACCAATCGTTTGCACATCTTCATCCTAAGAACAGTAAAAAGGAGATATTCAGCTTTTAAGTACCTTTTCAAAGTACTGTAATAGAGGAAAAATGAATTATATACAACACCTTAAATATGTGGTAACATGTACATCATTTTATAAATGTGAAGTATGGAAGGGTAATGTTTCTAGAGGTATCCACTACATAGTGACCTTTTTCCATTTATCTAACTTGCAAAGTGTGCAAATAAATGAATCAACATGGATGCTTGACAGCAAATGTCTGTGATGAACGGGGAAATCTTTCTATGTAAGTTATAAAATTGCTGCATCATTAAGTGTCTCACTGTGTAGTGAGTCCACCATGGGCTGATGGGGTGCCTGACATGTACCACATAATAGCTCTGTCTGAAAGCAGTGACAGAACTACCAAAAGAAGTTATTAACCATAACAACTGAGCACTAGCTGAACAACAGGTAAACAAACAAGGATGTCTAGCATGGGAAACCAATTTACTCCCAACTTCTCAGCAGAGACTTGGAGATTAAAACAACAGAATTTCCCCACAAAGGGTAAATTAAAAAGCTGGTTATAGATTTAGCCATATAATGTAGAAATACTACATGCTACTTACTGCTTGAGAACCAGAAGCAGTCTAGCTGAAGTAGAGTGGAACTCCAGGAAGAAATTTAGTTTTCATTGAGCTCCAGGGCTGCCATAGTATCTTATTTAAAACACGATGCAATAATAATATATCCCCAGGGCCATCCCAGGGGGGAGTGGCACAGAGCCAGGCAGGGTGCGCATGGCGATTCTGTGCTGCAGCCAGCTTCATGGCTGGCTGGCCACTCAGCACCCCCCCGCCCCCCCCGAATCCAGCATGTCTGGCTGCTCACCACCAGCTCCCCGTGGAATCTGCTGCCACACAGGCTGATTTGCCCTGGGCCCCGCACCCTGCATATCCCCCAAAGCTATTGTAAAACTGTCTTGTTTAGAGTGTTTGTCTGAAACTTAAGACGACTTAGACAATTTTTCTTAACTAATTCAACTGCCATCCAAGTATCCTGTGGATGTAAACTGTGGGGGTTAATAAAATGCCCTAAAAGAAGGTATTTCCTTTTATTGCCTTTCATTTCACCTATTGTCCCACTTGTTCAGTTGCAAAGACAAAGGAATAATTAGGCAATAAGATCTCTGGCTTGGAAGTCACATTTTGTGTATGTTTGTGTGGCATCAGTTACAATGCTGCAACAATCACATGGGAGCACTGCATCGCAACAAAAGACAGGAACATTGGAACAGTTGCAAAGAAAGTGCTACCAGCTGAGTGAACCTCCCTGACTGTCCCCTCACCACTATTTTTTCCAGCTTAGAAGTAACACTGGTATTTAACCACCAAGCCTCCCATGCTCATCAAAATCTGAGTAGTGTCTGGATCCCATTGAAGAGGGCGGTAAAATTGCAATGGACATGAGCCCATGTGAGCATCAATTGGACCTTGGTAGTGAACCAATTCAAAAGATTAGTCACTCAGCATCCCTTTAATTGAGCAGATGTTTATGAATATATAGCAACAACCCATATTTAATTATTGTTGAAAATGTCTTTTAAAGGATGAGATATTGGGTTTAAACTAGAAGATTTAATGTGGGGGGGGCGAAAAGAAAAAACTTCAAATAACGACTATAAAAACGGACAGACAGACAAAAGGGATATTTAAACTCTTACAGCAATTTTAACTTGGCAGGATTTTCATAAAGTAGCTTTCAGTATAAGTGGGATAATACAGCCAAATGTTTTCCAGTAAAACAGTTCAGTAGAGTGAGATAAAAAGGAGTTGTTCCCATGATTGTTCCATGACTTTAAGACAGTCACCTTACTAGACCACAGTAAAAAAGGCAAATTATACAGCTAAACTGAAGTCATTATTATGTTCACTGTGTTCTACATTAAAGCTTTATTTTAACTCAGTTATATAGAACAGTGTTGGGCTAAGAGTTTCTGATTGTGCATACCACGTTCTTTGCTATAGGGAAAATTAGAGACCAGCTGCTCACAAAAGAAGGAAAACAACTGCTTAGTTCTCTTTTTCTGAATCAAAAGGAAAGCCAAAATACATTTCTGCTTTCCCAAGGATTATTCCTTTAAGAAGAGTCTTAAAGGCACATCCCTGAATTTCCAATGGTCTCATGTACTAGAACAAGAACTCCCCCCTGCCCTGCCAAAAAACACTGCTAAAATTTTGTCTAGTGAGACAGTTGGCAAGGTGTTGTTTACTTTTGAGAGAAACATATTTGAGAGGCATCATGCAATGTACCGACACAGAAACTAAACAGAAAAAAGCATTGAGTGGTTAATAATTTAGTTATACCATACACATAAATGTCTGTCTTCTAGTGTTCCAATAAAACAAAACAAAAAATTAACCTCTTCTGGAGGAATGCACTGTATTTTTGGTGTCACTCCATAAAAACTTGTAAGGGCTTCTTTTATGGCACTCATCTGAAGATTTAAAAGACAGGGAGAGTCAAAAAGGACTTCAACAAATAAATAACCTTTTCGTATGTTCCCATTTCCCATTTTGTATACAACATAACTCTTAAGTAACTATAGAACTAGATGAGTTTGCTTATCTACAATGAGTTTGAAACTTCCAATTCCTAAAAGATGCATTAAAATTATTTTATTTAACATACAAGAACATGTCTTACCTGGTAATACGTATGGCCTGGTTTTATTCCAACTTTCAAGAGGTAACTGGAACAGACAAAAAAACAAAACAAAAAGCAAAACCCAAATAGAATACACTTTTACATTTCATTTGGCATTGATACAAATGAGTAAATAGCCAATCTTCGTAGGAGAGCTAGACAATTAGATTTAATGAAGGAAGAAGCACAGCTCCTCAGTACCCTCCTGGGCTTAAGCAAGCAACTTTCTTTATCTGGTTTCCCAACAGCTGCAGTTTGGGAGGAGCATGCTAATGTTCTTTGCACTCACTCTGCAGAGCACTAGGCTGCAGTGTGACATGCTGGTCCAGACAGAAATGGCAATGTTCACCTGATCTGGCTACAGGAAGCAGTTTATAGCTGTGACCAAACAAGTACACAGCTGCAAACAGTTTTAAAAAATGGCTGATTGCATGAAAATATGACCCCTCATTGCATGAGGTATCAGATGAAGATGTTACAACAGGCAGCATCTTTAGCAACTTGTGTCTAT